GTGATAAGTTTTCCTAACATGTCGGTGATAATAAATATAATTAAATCCACATGTATAATCATGCAGTTTTAAAGAATGTTATTTTTCTGTTACATGTCTGTGAAAGTTAACACAAATGTATAACCATTCTGTAGCAATGATTAAAAATTCATAACCTGTCTGTTATCATAAATACAGGTGTTATTATTGACACTGAAGATGGGTCTGAAACAATGTTAGTACATATGTACATGCAATGTTCATGATCTGTGAAAGTTAGTACTTGTGTATTACCAATCTGAAACAATAAATAAATGTCCATAACCTAAAGTAAATTTGTTATTTTAAATTCTTGTGACTTGTATGTGTAATAATTGTGAAAATTGATGTAATGTGTCTGCGATAATATAAACGTTTAATCCACATAAATTTATTGCTAAAAAGAGTTTCCATAAGTAATTTTACAAGCATTGTTTTAAGTGTTTGAATTCAGGAACCCACTATCAAAGGCATCTGATCGTTTTTGTAGGTATAGTAATTCAATTTAATAAAATTATTGAAAATAAAAGAAAATCAGGTAAGACAATACAGATCTAGACATTTTAATGACTGAACAGTAAGTTATACATGCAGGAATTATTTTCCTTCCATTGTGAATACATATTAATAACCCTTTCTCCACCACTTACCCCTATATACCTCCTATCTCTTTTTAAAATAATGTAAATCCCGCTACAACTAGTCGTATATTTGTTGACACTGAACTTCTTCTTTCACTTTCACATACTTCATTTCCGGTTAAAATAATACGCAACTCTGCTGCTACCGATTAACTGCTATGCCGTGCACAGCTGCCGTTTGCCGGACTCGTTCATCACAGCCTGATAAGTGTCTTTGAGGTTTACTATACATTCGAAACCTATCTAGGTCCTTGAGAGCCTGATAAGTGTCTTTGAGGTTTCCTTTACATTCGGAACCTTTCTCGGTTGATCAGAGCCTGATAAATATCTTTGAGGTTTTCTTTACACTCGGAACCTATATGGGTTCATCAGAGCCTGGTACTTATCTTTGAGGTTTTCTATGCATTCGGAACCTGTCTGTGTTGATCAGAGCCTGGTGCGTACATTTGACGTACATCCGTGACCTGTCTGACCAATCACGTGGCTTGTGATACACTATACTAGGTAAACAGTGAATATAAAGACTAATCGGTGGAGCTAAAGATGGCTTTGATCAAAATGGATACATATTATAGTTAACGTTAGTCGTGTATGGATCAACATTACTGTATATAAATACCAAATCCATAACAGTGTAACAGTGCCGAGGGTCACCCGAGGGTATCACTGTCAGCCGAGGGGTCACCCCGAGGGTATCACTGTCAGCCGAGGGGTCACCCCAAGGGTATCACTGTCACTATGAGAAATCGGACATTCCACAAACCAACAGGCGATACCTAGCCCAGTTTCGCGCCGGATGTCTTCCGCTAGCAGTGGAGACTGGAAGATATGCCAGGCCGCCCATTAACTTCATGATAGACTGTGTACCCATTGTGACATGAGGAATGTCGAATACGAAAAACATTTATTAATTGAGTGCAAACTGTACAGTGATTTAAGATAATTTGCGAAATCAAGCCTGTGATGTTATAGAGGGGTTCTTAATGCAGGACTGTGACACACAGTTCCTTAACATAATGAAAAATGGCCCAAATATAGGTCAATTTATTTTTAACGCGTTTAAGCGTAGAAAAATATACATGCAGTAATAATCAATAAGTAAGTAGCAGAACATATGTGACATTTTACCAGTACATAAGGATATATCATTCGATAAGGTACTAAAGCGGTTAACCTTTTTTCTCGCTAAAGTTGGTAGTACATTGTACAGGAATAGGTAATGATATACCTTATTATTAGCTAACAAATATGTATATGTATATCTATATAATTGGTCTCTTCAAATGTGGTGGCTCCTATATATTTTAATGTATATTATTGCCTTTTTGGATTCTCTAAAGTCAAATTTACTTTGACACCAATGTGTAACAGTATGATAAGCTATAGTAAGCTGACAAAATATTGGTCTTTTTAAATTTTGTGATATTTATATTATTTTAAGATGTATTATTGCCTTTTGGAGTTACAGATCTAGAAGTCTAAATTAACTTGGCCATCAATGTGCTAGAATAACTTATGAAAGTTGATATAAGTATTGTTCTCTCAAAATGCGATGACACTTGTCCTTTTGTATTTTATTGCATCTTGGAGTCTCATAAGTCATAATTTATTTTGACAACAATGTAAATTGAAATAACTTAAAATTATATGATATAAGCTGACAAATATCTGGTGAAACTTATTCCAAGGCTAATATGATATTGCCTTTTCAAGTATCATAAGTCAAGCTAGCTTTGACAGGAATGTGTGGTTATAATGTATAATAAGCTAAAATAAGCTGACAAATATTGAGCTTTTTGAAATTGACAGCTGTTTTTAATGTATATTTTCTGTCTTTTTAATGTCACATAAGTCGATTCACTTTGGCTGGATATTGATCTAATTTTATGTACATTTTATCTGTTTTATATGTAGATCAGTATGTGACACTTGAATAAAATAAATTTACTATTACTTATTATTATGTACTGTCACCCGAGGGGGGTCACCCCGAGGGTATCACTGTCAGCCGAGGGGTCACCACGAGGGTATCACTGTCAGCCGAGGGGTCACCCCAAGGGTATCACTGTCAGTCGAGGGGTCACCCCGTAAGTATCACTGTCAGCCGAGGGGTCACCCCGAGGGTATCACTGTCAGTCGAGGGGTCACCCCGTAAGTATCACTGTCAGCCTAGGGGTCACCCCGTGAGTATCACTGTCAGCCGAGGGGTCACCCCGAGGATATCACTGTCAGCCGAGGGATCACCCCAAGGGTATCACTGTCAGCCGAGGGGTCACCCCGTGAGTATCACTGTCAGCCGATGGGTCACCCCGAGGATATCACTGTCACCCGAGTACTACTGACAGTAGTATTAGCAAGTATAGCTAAACGTCAATGATAGTATCAGTAAGTGATACAGGTGTTGAGTACAGTAATTGTTGATTGTAGTAAGTGATGACGGTTGTAAGTGTTGCTAGTATTTTTATCTTGTTTATGATGTTTTTGTTATAGTTTAAAACAAGTGGAGAGATTTCCAGATTATTGTGCCTTCGAAATTAGGGCGTTATGATTTCTTCTTTGTTTTATAAAAAAAAGTCAGAAATCATGGTTCCAGGAGTATAAGCTTCTTTAATTAAGGTATTTGACTTACAACATTACATAACGTACGTAGTGACAAATTCTGTGATACCTCTCCGTCGGTTTATAAGGCAACTAATCAGAATAGACCTTACAAATGATTATCTTATTCAGCATTTAATTCCTTAATCCAAATGAATAAAACTATTTGGACTACAAATATGATCTTTATCTAAATGTCACAGATGATGATGATGATGGATTGATAGTATGATGATGTTGATGATGATGATGGATTGATAGTATGATGATGTTGATGATGTTGATGATGTTGATGATGGATTGATAGTATGATGATGTTGATGATGATGATGGATTGATAGTATGATGATGTTGATGATGATGATGATGATAGAATAATGATGATGATGATGATGATAGAATAATGTTGATGATGATGATGATGATAGAATAATGATGATGATGATGATGATAGAATAATGTTGCTGATGATGATGATGATAGAATAATGATGATGATGATTATGGATTGATAGTATGATGATGTTGATGATGATGCTGATGTTGATGATGGAGTGATAGTATGATGATGTTGATGATGATGATGTATTGATAGTATGATGATGTTGATGATGTTGATGATGTTGATGATGGATTGATAGTGTGATGATGTTGATGATGATGATGGATTGATAGTACGATGATGTTGATGATGATGATGGATTGATAGTATGATGAGGTTGATGATGATGATGATGATAGAATAATGATGATTATGATGATGGATTGATAGTATGATGATGTTGCTGATGATGATGATGGATTGATAGTATGATGATCTTGATGATGTTGGTGATGAAGATAGGTTGATGCTGTTGATGATGATGATGATGATGATAGAATAATGATGATGATGATGATGATAGAATAATGTTGCTGATGATGATGATGATAGAATAATGATGATGATGATGATGATAGAATAATGTTGATGATGATGATGATAGAATAATGATGATGATGAAGATGGATTGATAGTATGATGATGTTGATGATGGTGATGATGGTGATGATGGATTGATAGTTTGATGATGTTGATGATGCTGATGGATTGATAGTACGATGATGTTGATGATGATGATGGATTGATAGTATGATGATCTTGATGATGTTGGTGATGATAGGTTGATGCTGTTGATGATGATGATGATGATAGAATAATGATGATGATGATAATGGATTGATAGTATGATGATGTTGATGATGATGCTGATGTTGATGATGGAGTGATAGTATGATGATGTTGATGATGATGATGGATTGTTAGTATGATGATGTTGATGATGTTGATGATGATGATGATGGATTGATAGTATGATGATCTTGATGATGTTGGTGATGATGATAGGTTGATGCTGTTGATGATGATGATGATGATAGAATAATGATGATGATGATGATGATGGATTAATAGAATGTTGATGATGATGATGATGATGATAGATTGATGCTGTTGTTGAGGATGATGATGATGATGATGATGATGATGATGATGATGATGATGTATTAAGATGATAATGGTGTATTACTATTGATGATGATTGACAAGGCTGATGATGATATTCAGTCACGATGAGGATAATGATGATGAAAGATTTGACGATGCAAGAGACAAACCATGCAAATGGTAATTGTATGTATGTGTGTTTATGTATTTATGTGATAAAAATGTCTTTAAAAATAAAAAAAAAATAAAAAATGAAAATAAAAAGTCACAGATTTTATTTTAAACACAACACTCAATGGCTGCCTCGCACTTTTTCTCCCTGACATTACTCTCTTAATCCTATCCTGATGGTAGCTGTTTAAACTGGATTTACAGGTATATACTGTCAATGAAAAAGGTCCATTCTCTAGACTCTGTAGAGAATAACTTATTCTTTTATTGCGTGCATGACAAAATATCCGTGAAAGTCTGAATATTCATCTTCTTTAGATTTGAATTTCACATCATCAAAAAGCTGAATATTAAACCCACAGCTGACAAACGTCGATTCTACATCATCTCGCGTGAGCTTCACGCACGAGAACTTGGCCTCTCCTACCCGATACCAGGTCTGTTCCAGTACACCATTCAGGATAAAATGTCCTCCGCTCTTCAGTAAGGAAGATACATTTGCTGCGTTGCTACGATACTGGTTAAGCGTTTGGGCTGCTGCTTCCAAACAGAGGCTGGAGGTGATAATATCAAACTGATTGACGTCACATCCGCTTCCAAGTGGATCCGCCATGTTGACGTCAATTGGAAAAACATCTCTTACTTTTTCTTTCATCATGCTGTGTCTCTCCAGGACAGTTTGTCTAAAGGTAAAAAAGTTAAGCGATAAAAACGAACGAGCTGTTGGAAAGACTTGTGTATATATGCTGTATACATTCCTTAAGGATTAACGATTGTGTATACTAACGGCGAATTATTTCATAAGTGGTACAACATACCGTGAACATTAAAATAAAAATATAAGATCTATCCTCTCCTCAGTCATACCGAGGTTTAAACAGATTACATTCTGCTGGACACTTATTTCAATAGATACAGTTCGATACTGTTCTGCTACGGTCATACATGTACCTGTTTCACTCAGGCAAAATAAAGTTTATGTTTGAGGTAAACCGACTGAAAACATATGGTAGGTCAGTAAGGACTTATTTTGTTATTTTCAATTCATTTAATTAGCGGGGGGTTAAGAAATTACAGAAATTACGAATTGAATCGATTTTACATTACATTTAAGAGTATTTCATATAAATACATGTAATATGGGATATACGTTTGAAATAGAGAGGTACATGTACCCTAAAGACAATAACAAATTCTGGGCCGTGTAAGTGCATTCGAGTGAAATAAAATTGTAATCGGAGGTTTAACCTAGATTCGGTTCGGGTACCAGAAACAAACAAAACTTGTTTGTTTTGCTGCAGGTAAAACATAGAAATTGATTAAATTGGTTAAGTGGACTACCTCGAATGCTCCTTTCCCAAAACGTATTCTGTGATATTTTCAGTCATTGTTTTGTCACTTTTCCACCAATCATTTAGCACTTTCCTATTTTGTGCGGCGAAGTCGGTGAGATATACGTCATCAACATGGCGGCAGGCACTGATGACGGAGTGTACTGACGGGCCCGTCCCTACGTCCAGTAGTCTGCGTCCCTTCACATCACCTGTGGAACAGCAGTGTTAACATGTCCACTAAGGACAAAGGTCATGTCAAACGTGCATTCGTTCATTGTACATCTTAAAGAGGAATAATGAAAATGAGATGTAGACAAGAATTTCTGAAATTGGAATGTTTTAAGGCACAGGTGGTCTGTGTTTATTTATTATATTTAATTATGATCAGTTATATAAAGCTCTAAAACTAAACTGATCCCGAATTTTAAACATAATTTATCTTCTTTAACGCCATTTTGTATGGCGTTATTTTAGTATACAGACCCATTACATTTCCATGATATTATCTCAAATTTCGATTTTATTTATCAGACACACGCTCGATTATACAATTTCAAATGAGTGTCAATAGTATCGACATCACTGATAAAGAATGTCTGTAACTTTATCATCTTATGCATAAAATAACAATATACAATATATAACCCTCTTAGCAGTACCTAAACAGGGTTCACGTTAATATAGGACATAAAGCCACAGACATTGTAAAAGGCTAATACCACAATAAAAACTGTATGTAACAGGTTATGGCATCTTAGAAATACAAGCCGAACTCGCCCTTCACCAAGGCGGCCGTAGTTCGATTCCCCGATCGGACGTGAACACGTATGGTGTGACCTGCCTGACCACGTAGTTTTTCTCCAGGTACTCTGGTTCCGTCCCACATTGCAACCCCACCCCCGCGCCGACACCCGGGCCAACAAGAGTCATTAATAGAAGTTGAAATAACCTGTTTCATAAACGTTATAAAATAGATAAAGTTTATATTTACATTTCATATAGAAACACTTAAACGTAAAACAGATTTTTCTTTTTACAAGTATTATTATAATAAGTGCGATATATCGCACTGATTTATCAATGAACGACTCGCTCTTTTACCAAAACTACATCAGAAAACTTCTAGCAGTTTAGCCTGCATGTGTGTGTTCCAGACAGTTTAACCTGTATGTGTGTGTGTTCCAGACAGTTTAGCCTGTATGTGTATGTGTGTTCAGCTGGCCGTCATATATTTTAAGTAAAAGTTATTCCCCTTTAATCAGCATTTACTTCTTACAATAACGATTATTTAACTTCAAGCCGCCATCGGACTATACTGTTTTAATTACCGTGTATTTTGAGAGGCTGTTGATATCACAACGGTAGCCAATATAATGACGACTATGACGCCGTATCATACAGCCTCACCAGTCATCTTGATTATTTCTGTTCACATCATTTAAGTACAGTGTCGCGTTTCACTTCCTAGTTCAGTGTGTCACAGAGTTTTGTATTATGTAAAAAAATACCTGAGTGAAATATGTCGTGGTATTTCTCCAGGGCGAACTGTAAGAGGTTGCCCTCGGCGGCTTGACCAATCACAGAGCTGTAAAACGTGTCCATGTACCACTCGGGATCGAACTTCCCAGAGTAATCCACAGTCTTCTCGTCATTAGCCATTTTGTTTACTCACGATAACGATACACATACACTCAGCACTGAATTGTGGGAGATCAAGAAGGAGAGAAGGTTATTTACATAGATAATATAAAGGTTATATATTACACTACAGAAATTGGAAATCAAGTGTCGGATCGTACCGGAAGAAATTTAATCTCATTTTTGTAAATGATCACAGCGTCGTTGTGTTGGTATTGCACTTCATGATAGTTCATTGATAAGGTGTGGTCGGGTGGTGCAGTGGATAACGCACTCGCCTTTCACCGGGGTCAGACTATAAAGGTAAGGGGTTAGGGGTCACATGCCCAACCACGTGGCCGGGCGGTGCAGTGGATAACGCACTCGCCTTTCACCGGGGTCAGACGTATAAAGGTAAGGGGTTAGGGGTCACATGCCCGACCACATGGCTTTTCTCCGTGTACTCCGGTGTCCTCCCACGTTACGATTCCGCGCGCTAACATCCGGGCTAGTAAGAGTAAGAAATGTAATTTGAAGAACTTGTTCCATTATTTTTGTGAGAATTTTATATTATGGATTAAGCTGAATTCATTAAGATAGGAACTGGTAAACTGACTAATTCTGAAAAAAATCATATCAATTGTTTGTATATATTTGAAGCTATCTAAAATAACATCAATGAAGAAAACTGAAAAACTGAAAATAATGTACAGAATATCTTATTGCACCGAGATTTTAGTGGCCTTTGACCTATTTTGTGAAGTGAAGGAGTCGTTCTATTACAACAGAAATAGAATAACCCACCATACAAACATTATTGCCTTTTCCCTCCAATTTAAACCCGATAACCTAGTATATACCACAAGTTTACCACAACTAAAACAAGAAACGTCCACTGACAATTTATTCAATGATGCATGCATTGGTGAGTGTTTACATGGTAATTTCTGTAAGATGTCTTTTGTTTGCAGTACCAAGTTAAATTTTACCCTGGTTTGAGGACTTGGAGGACGTACTTCTCTGGTTTGAGAACATGGAGGACGTACTACTCTGGTTTGAGAACATGGAGAACGTACTTCTCTGGTTTGAGGAGCTGTAGGACGTACTACTCTGGTTTGAGAACATGGAGGACGTACTTCTCTGGTTTGGGGAGCTGTAGGACGTACTTCTCTGGTTTGAGGACTTTGATGACGTACTTCTCTGGTTTGAGAACATGAAGGACGTACTTCTCTGGTTTGAGAACATGGAGGACGTACTTCTCTGGTTTGAGGACTTTGATGACGTACTTCTCTGGTTTGGGGAGTTGTAGGACGTACGTCTCTGGTTTGAGGACTTTGATGACGTACTACTCTGGTTTGAGAACATGAAGGACGTACTTCTCTGGTTTGAGATTATGGAGGACGTACTTCTCTGGTTTGAGAACATGGAGGACGTACTTCTCTTGTTTGGGGAGTTGTAGGACGTACTTCTCTGGTTTGGGGACTTTGATGACGTACTACTCTGGTTTGAGAACATGGAGGACGTACTTCTCTGGTTTGGGGAGTTGTAGGACGTACGTCTCTGGTTTGAGAACTTTGATGACGTACTACTCTGGTTTGAGAACATGGAGGACGTACTTCTCTGGTTTGAGATTATGGAGGACGTACTTTCTGGTTTGAGAACATGGAGGACGTACTTCTCTGGTTTGGGGAGTTGTAGGACGTACTTCTCTGGTTTGGGGACTTTGATGACGTACTACTCTGGTTTGAGAACATGTAGGACGTACTTCTCTGGTTTGAGAACATGGAGGACGTACTTCTCTGGTTTGAGGAGCTGTAGGACGTACTTCTCTGGTTTGAGACCATGGAGGACGTACTTCTCTGGTTTGGGGAGTTGTAGGACGTACTTCTCTGGTTTGAGGACTTTGATGACGTACTACTCTGGTTTGAGAAGATGGAGGACGTACTACTCTGGTTTGAGGACTTGTTGGACGTACAACTCTTGTTTTAAGATTTGGAGGACGTACTACGCTGGTTTGAGGACTTGGAGGACGTACTACTATGGTTTGAGGACTTGTTGGACGTACTACTCTGGTTTGAGGATTTGTTGGACGTACTTCTCTGGTTTGAGGACTTGGAGGACGTCCTTCTCTGGTTTAAGGACTTGTTGGACGTACTTTACTGGATTGAGGACATGTTGGACGTACTACTTTGGTTCGAGGACTTGTTGGATGTACTACTCTGGTTTGAGGACTTGTTGGACCTACTACTTTGGTTTGAGGACTTCTTTGACGTACTACTCTGGTTTGAGAACTTGTTGGACCTACTACTCTGGTTTGAGGACTTGTTGGACGTACTACTCTGGTTTGAGAACTTGGTTTGAGAACTTGGTTTGAGGACTTGTTGGACGTACTTATCTGGTTTGAGGGGTTATTGGTCGTACTTCTCTTGTTTGAGAACTTGTTGGACGTACTTCTCTGGTTTGAGAACTTGTTGGACGTAATACTCTGGTTTGAGAACTTGTTGGACCTACTACTCTGGTTTGCGGACTTGTTTGACGTTCTACACTGGTTTGAGAACTTGTTGGACGTACTACACTGGTTTGAGGACTTGTTTGACGTTCTACACTGGTTTGAGAACTTTTAGACGTACTTCTCTGGTTTGAGGACTTGTTGGACGTACTACTCTGGTTTGAGGACTTGTTGGACGTACTACTCTGGTTTGAGGACTTGTTGGACGTACGTCCCTGGTTTGAGGACTTGTTGGACGTACTTCTCTGGTTTGAGGACTTGTTGGACGTACTTCTCTGGTTTGAGGACTTGTTGGACGTACTACTCTGGTTTGAGGACTTGTTGGACGTACTTCTCTGGTTTGAGGACTTGTTGGACGTACTTCTCTGGTTTGAGAACTTGTTGGACGTACTACTCTGATTTGAGTACTTGGTTTGAGGACTTGTTGGACGTACTTCTCTGGTTTGAGGACTTGTTGGACGTACGTCTCTGGTTTGAGAACTTGCAGGACGTACTTCTCTGGTTTGAGGACTTGTTGGACGTACTTTCCTGGTTTGAGGACTTGATTTGAGGACTTGCAGGACGTACTACTGTTGTTTGAGGACTTGGAGGACGTTCTACTCTGATTTGAAGACTTGTTGGACGTACTACTCTGGTTTGAGGACTTGTTTGACGTACTACTCTGGTTTGAGGACATGTATGACGTACTACACTGGTTTGAGGACTTGTTGGACGTACTACTCTGGTGTGAGGACTTGTTGGACGTACTTCCCTGGTTTGAGGATTTGGTTTGAGGACTTGGAGGACAAACTACTCTGGTTTTAGGTATTGGAGGAAGTACTTCTCTAGTTTGAGGACTTTGATGACGTACTTCTCTGATTTGAGGACTTGTAGGACGTATTTCTCTGGTTTGAGGACTTGTTAGACCTACTACTTTGGTTGGAGGACTTGTTGGATGTACTACTCAGGTTTGAGGACTTGGAGGACGTACTTAACTGGTTTGATGACTTGTTCGACGTACTACTCTGGTTTGAGGACTTGGAGGACGTACTTCTCTGGTTTGAGAACTTGTTGGACGCACTACTCTGATTTGAGGACTTGGTTTTAGGACTTGCAGGACGTACTACTCTGGTTTGAGAACTTGTTGGACGTATTTCTCTGATTTGAGGACTTGTTGGACGTACTTCTCTGATTTGAGGACTTTGTCTGAGGACTTGCATGACGAACTACTCTGGTTTGAGGACTTGTTGTATGTACTACTTTGGTTTGAGAACTTGTTTGACGTACTTCTCTGATTTGAGGACTTGGTTTGAGGACTTGCAGGACGTTCTACTCTGGTTTGAGAACTTGTTGGACGTACTTCTCTGATTTGAGGACTTGTTGGACGTACTTCTCTGATTTGAGGACTTGATTTGAGGACTTGCAGGACGTACTTCTCTTGTTTGAGGACTTGTTGGACCTACTACTCTGGTTTGAGAACTTGTTGGACGTACTACTCTGGTTTGAGTACTTGGTTTGAGTACTTGTTTGACGTATTACTCAGGTTTGAGGACTTGTTGGATGTACTACTCAGGTTTGAGTACTTGGTTTGAGGACTTGTTTGACGTATTACTCAGGTTTGGGGACTTGGAGGACGTACTTCTCTGGTTTTAGGACTTGTTGGGCGTACTATTCTGATTTGAGGACTTGGTTTTAGGACTTGCAGGACGTACTACTCTGGTTTGAGAACTTGTTGGACGTATTTCTCTGATTTGAGGACTTGTTGGACGTACTACGCTGGTTTGAGGACTTGATTTGAGGACTTGCAGGACGTACTACTGTTGTTTTAGGACTTGCAGGACGTACTACATTGTACTCTGATTTGAGAACTTGTTGGACGTATTTCTCTGGTTTGAGGACTTGTTGGACGTACTACCCTGGTTTGAGGACTTGTTGGACATACTTCTCTGGCTTGAGTAATTGGTTTGAGGACTTGCAGGACGTACTTCTCTGGTTTGAGGACTTGTTGGACGTACTTTCCTGCTCTGAGGACTTGATTTCAGGACTTGCAGGACGTACTTCTGTTGTTTGAGGACTTGGAGGACGTTCTACTCTGGTTTGAGGACTTGTTGGACGTACTACTCTGGTTTGAGGACTTGTTTGACGTACTACTCTGGTTTGAGGACATGTATGACGTACTACACTGGTTTGAGGACTTGTTGGACGTATTACTTTGGTGTGCGGACTTGGAGGGCGTACTTCTCTGATTTGAGGACTTTGTTTGAGGACTTGCATGACGAACTACTCTTGTTTGAGGACTTGTTGTATGTACTACTTTGGTTTGAGAACTTGTTTGACGTACTTCTCTGATTTGAGGACTTGGTTTGAGGACTTGCAGGACGTTCTACTCTGGTTTGAGAACTTGTTGGACGTACTTCTCTGATTTGAGGACTTGGTTTGAGGACTTGCAGGAGGTACTTCTCTGGTTTGAGGACTTGTTGGACCTACTACTCTGGTTTGAGAACTTGTTGGACGTACTACTCTGGTTTGAGTACTTGGTTTGAGTACTTGTTTGACGTATTACTCAGGTTTGAGGACTTGTTGGATGTACTACTCAGGTTTGAGAACTTGTTGAACGTACTACTCAGGTTTGAGTACTTGTTTGACGTATTACTCAGGTTTGGGGACTTGTAGGACGTACTATTCTGGTTTGAGGACTTGTTTGACGCACTACTCTTGTTTGAAGACTTTGAGGACGTACTCTCCTAGTTTGAGGACTTGGAGGAAGTACTACTCTGGTTTGAGGACTTGTAGGACGTATTTCTCTGGTTTGAGGACTTGTAGGACGTACTCGTCCGCTTTAAGGACTTGTTGGACGTACTACTCTGGTTTGAGGACTTGTTTGACGTACTACTCTTGTTTGAAGACTTTGAGAACGTACTTCTCTTGTTTGAGGACTTGGAGGACGTACTACTCTAGTTTGAGGACTTTGAGGACATACTATTCTGGTTTGAGAACTTGTAGGATGTACTACTCTGGTTTGAGGACGTACTTCTCTGGTTTGAGGACTTGTTAGAGGTACTGTCCTGGTTTGAGGACATTGAGGTCATACTACCATGGTTAGAGGACTTGTAGGACGTACTTCTCTTGTTTTAGGACTTTAAGGACGTACTACTCTGGTTTGAGGACTTGTAGGACGTACTACTCTGGTTTGAGGACTTGGAGGACGTACTTCTCTGGTTTGAGGACTTGTAAGTGGTACTTCTCTGGTTTGAGGACTTCTTGGACGTACTTCTCTTGTTTGAGGACTTCTTGGACGTACTACTCTGGTTTGAGGTCTTGTTGGACGTACTACGATGGTTTGAGGCCTTGTTGGACGTACTTCTCTGGTTTGAGGACTTGTTGGACGTACTACGCTGGTTTGAGGATTTGTTGGACGTACTACGCTGGTTTGAGGACTTGTTGGAGGTACTACGCTGGTTTGAGGACTTGTAGGACGTACTAATTTGGTTTTAGGACTTGGAGGACGTACTTCACTGGTTTGAGGACTTGTTAGAGGTACTGCTCTGGTTTGAGGACTTCTTGGACGTACTTCTCTTGTTTGAGGACTTGTTGGACGTACTACTCTGGTTTGAGGACTTGGAGGACGTACTTCGCTGGTTTGAGGACTTGTTGGACGTACTTCTCTGGTTTGAGGACTTGTTTGACGTACTTCGCTTGTTTGAGGCCTTGTTGGACGTACTACGCTGGTTTGAGGACATGTTGGACGTACTACGCTGGTTTGAGGACATGTTGGACGTACTACGCTGGTTTGAGGACATGTTGGACGTACTACGCTGGTTTGAGGACATGTTGGACGTACTACGCTGGTTTGAGGACTTCTTGGACATACTTCTCTAGTTTGAGGACTTGTTTGACGTACTACGCTGGTTTGAGGACATGTAGGCCGTACTACGCTGGTTTGAGGACTTGTAGGACGTACTTCTCTGGCTTGAGAACTTGGAGGACGTACTTCGCTGGTTTGAGGACTTGTTGGACGTACTACGCTGGTTTGAGGACATGTAGGACGTACTACGCTGGTTTGAGGACTTGTAGGACGTACTTCTCTGGTTTGAGAACTTGGAGGACGTACTTCGCTGGTTTGAGGACTTTTTAGAGGTACTTCTCTGGTTTGAGGACTTCTTGGAGGTACTTCTCTTGTTTGAGGACTTGTTGGACGTACTACTCTGGTTTGAGGACTTGTTGGACGTACTACGCTGGTTTGAGGACTTCTTGGACATACTTCTCTAGTTTGAGGACTTGTTGGACGTACTACGCTGGTTTGTGGACTTGTTGGACGTACTACGCTGGTTTGAGGACATGTTGGACGTGCTACGCTGGTTTGAGGACTTGTTGGACATACTACGCTGGTTTGAGGACTTGTTGGAGGTACTACGCTGGTTTGAGGACTTGTAGGACGTACTACTCTGGTTTGAGGACTTGGAGGACGTACTTCTCTGGTTTGAGGACTTGTTAGAGGTACTACTCTGGTTTGAGGACTTCTTTGACGTACTTCTCTTGTTTGAGGACTTGTTGGACGTACTACTCTGGTTTGAGGACTTGTTGTACATACTACGCTGGTTTGAGGACTTGTTGGACGTACCTCTCTGGTTTGAGGACTTTTTGGACGTACTACGCTGGTTTGAGGACATGTTGGACGTACTACGCTGGTTTGAGGACTTGTTGGACGTACAACTCTGGTTTGAAGACATTGAGGAAGAAATACCCTGTCCTGAGAGCTATGAGGACGTGCTACCCTGTCCTTAGAACTATGAGGACGTGCTACCCTATCCTGAGAACTATGAGGACGTACTACCATGTCCTGAGAACTATGAGGACGTGCTACCATGTCCTGAGAACTATGAGGACGTGCTACCCTGTCCTGAGAACTATGAGGACGTACTACCCTGTCCTGAGAACTATGAGGACGTGCTACCCTGTCCTAAGAACTATGAGGACGTGCTACCCTGTCCTGAGAACTATGAGGACGTGGTACCATGTCCTGAGAACTATGAGGACGTGCTACCATGTCCTGAGAACTATGAGGACTTACTACCATGTCCTGAGAACTATGAGGACGTACTACCATGTCCTGAGAACTATGAGGACGTACTACCATGTCCTGAGAACTATGAGGACGTGCTACCATGTGCTGAGAACTATGAGGACGTGCTACCATGTCCTGCGAACTATGAGGATGTGCTACCCTGTCCTGAGAACTATGAGGACGTGCTACCATGTCCTGAAAACTATGAGTACGTGCTACCATGTCCTGAGAACTATGAGGACGTGGTACCATGTCCTGAGAACTATGAGGACGTGCTACCATGTCATGAGAACTATGAGGACGTGCTACCATGTCCTGAAAACTATGAGTACGTGCTACCCTGTCCTGAGAACTATGTGGACGTGCTACCCTGTCCTGAGAACTATGAGGACGTGCTACCCTGTCCTGAGAATTATGAGGACGTGCTACCCTGTCCTAAGAACTATGAGGACGTGCTACCCTGTCCTGAGAACTATGAGGACGTACTAAATAATGGTTTGCTGGCACTATAGTTAGTAACATATTGCTAGTACATTTGTGAGGTACGTGGATGCACCATTATCTGGCACTACTATATTAAGTAAAAATACCTGAGTGAAAAATATCGTGGTATTTATCCAGGAGTTCGTCCTCTTCGCTGTGTCCGGACACAGAGCTACATGTGTATATTTCCTGTTCCACTCGGGGCCAAATCAACCAAGTAATCCACAGTCTTCTTGTCATCAGCAATATTTCCTGGCCTTTAAGGCCACAAACACAGCGGCCAGAAACCGAATAAGTGCAAGGTTGCAGTTTTGTATGAAACATGTTGTAATATGACCCATGCAAAAATAGAATTTTACATAAAACTCTTAATTGTATCGACAAAAGAACCCGATTGACATGGATTTATACAGAAGAAACAAAATGATTTTAAATCGCCACAAACGTATGCGCTGCGCTTTTATCCTCGACACACGTTTTGAATCCTGATAAAGGTTTACATTGGTTTTCCTATGACGGTGCTGTAATAAACAACTACAGTATACAACAGATAAACTCGAGCAGTAAAAATTCAACAAAACCAGGACATAAAAATACCAGGATAAAGTCAGATAAGGTTGCACTTCTTTAGAGGCAGTTATCATACACACAGCTTTCCAACGCACAGCTTTCCCAAACGTTTTAGTCAAGGGCGATTTGTCGTTAATCTAGATTTCAGAGGGGTCGCATATCCACCATGTGAACAGACGCAAAAACATGTCGGAAGGAAATTTCATGAACATGTGTCCCATGTAAGTTAGGTTTTTGTACCGATGGCCGTGACCTAATGTATCCCTTGCTGGCAACGCTATGAACAGATTCGTGCATTATCCAGGGAAATCGATTTGAAATTAGTTATGTTGTCAGAGAGAAAATACTTTGGTAGTTGTCAACGAAGATTTACACTGATATCAGATCCTGTACACCGAAGTGTTCGCCTTGGTGCATTAGTCCTTTTGAAGGATTCAACGTTAGCTAATTATAACGAGTTACTGTTAGAATGTTTTGGCAGCACCATACGTTTGAAAGTAAGTTGTCCTCGTTGTAAAGTATCGACGTTTAACTCCACGGAAATACTCCTACAATTATTCCCCAACACAGACAACGTTACACCTATACTGGTATTTTTTTCAAAACGCAAATTGCAGTGTTCGAAATAACATTCATCAATTTGGAATGAAAAAATAAATGCTACGTTTGTTTTGAACATAACCAGTAATTAACAAAACTTATTTTACAAGGTTTCGGAAACGTTCGTTTCCTTTGTCAAGTTAAGAGTTGAAATGACCAGTGTCTCGACTCTATACCGATGAAAACAACTCAGTAAAGTCAGCTGTCAGAATAATAGACTTTCGTCCATATATCACGCTTATACTGCAGGTAGTCAGAGGGACGGGTGATGTGTTAACCAATTCCGCTCCTTGGTAAGTGTTTAATAGGGTCACAAAGGTTACTCAGCTGGTGGACCCCTCATCTCTGTTCCCTTCACTCCTAATTCAGATAGATTCTTTGATTTGTCTCTCCTTCCATATTTCTCTCCTTCCATTTGTCTCTCCTTCTATTCGTCCTGCTTTCTGGTACTTTGAAGCTGTCCCGGTCTATGATGGTGTTGTGTACAGTATGCATGAGGAGTAGTTTGAAGCTGTCTCGGTCTATGATGGGGTTGTGTACAGTATGCATGAGGAGTAGTTAGCACATCGTAATGTTCCTCGTGGTGTTAACGATAAAATACTAAAAGGAATGATTTAGTAAAGTCAGCTTTTACTAATCTTGTCACAACAGTTTGTTGTAATGATATAGGCTGATACATCGTATGACCAAATCATGTCGAGAAATTGACAAAACACAACGTTTCCTTAACGTAATGAAGAAACCCTTAACAGTACAACCATACCTTTTAACGGCAGCTGTCGTTAAAAATTTAACTGACAGATATGTCTTTCTAGCCGAGAAAAGAAGGTAAGTTTTCGCATTATTCACCTGACATTATTTAAATACACGTACCAGCATTTATTCTGAATCAATATCATATTCAAAACAACAATTCGATCATCGTTATTAATGGGTAGTTCATTTTACGTTTAAACCCATTGATATCGTACTTTGTGCAGTTTGAAATTCTTCCTGTGGTACCCTTTTGCGTGCATTCCCTCAATAAACCTGCTTCTATTTATGCAAATCCAACTGTGAATATATCTTATTAGATTTATATATTATGCTACTTATAAACCTAGCCTCTGGCCGCTTCGACGAATTGTATATGTGTGTCGGTCGACAGTGTGATACTGTACATGTTTATTTCTCACTGAAAGACCCGGATATTGCACTTTAATAGTCGTTGCTACACTTATCACCGAATCTGCACGTTGGCTTCATGTCATGTCAATGTCAACCACGTAAACTGTGTAAGGATACATATATATGTTAAGTGACAATCGATGGTAAGGGTGTTTTTTCAGTACATAGTCAATTTAAGGCAATGGTTTTCTTTAAAAGCGATGATTCGGCAACTGAATATTAATGATTACAATTATTTTTTAATTGCATGCATTATAAAATAACCGTGAAAGTCAGAATAATAACCGCCTTCCGTCGACTTCACAGTCTCCATTGAAGCAATATTAAACCCACAGCTGACAAACGTCGATTTTACGTCATCTCGCTTAATGGCTGCCTCGCACTTTTTCTCCCTGACTTTACTTTCTTAATCCTATCCTGATGGTAGCTGTTTAAACTGGATTTACAGGTATATACTGTCAATGAAAAAGGTCCATTCTCTAGACTCTGTAGAGAATAACTTATTCTTTTATTGCGTGCATGACAAAATATCCGTGAAAGTCTGAATATTCATCTTCTTTAGATTTGAATTTCACATCATCAAAAAGCTGAATATTGAACCCACAGCTGACAAACGTCGATTTTATGTCATCTCGCGTGAGCTTCACGCACGAGAACTTGGCCTCTCCTATCCGATACCAGGTCTGTTCCAGTACACCATTCAGGATAAAATGTCCTCCGCTCTTCAGTAAGGAAGATACATTTGCTGCGTTGCTACGATACTGGTCAAGCGTTTGGGCTGCTGCTTCCAAACAGAGGCTGGAGGTGATAATATCAAACTGATTGACGTCACATCCGCTTCCAAGTGGATCAGACAAGGTGACGTCAATTGGCAAAACATGTCGTACTTTCTCTTTGATCGTTTTATGGCGCTCCGCGACCGTTTCACTGAAAATAATGCAGTTGCTTTTAAAAGTTCGTTGTTGTAAATTTGTAAAACGTAATTCCACCAAGCGAAAATCAAAGCAATGAGGTTTAAACTATGAAAATATTTGTATTTAAATCATTAACAGCGTGGAGATCATTTGTTATGCTTGGGATGTAAACGATTGGTCAGCACCTGTTTTTTTTTATCTCGCACTTGGAAACCTTAAAAGTGGACTAAAATAAAGCTGCAGGCAAAATATCGCTATCTATGACTCAAAGCCATTGAAAAGAACATGTTAAAAGATTTAAATACATTTGACCCCTGTGACCTTGAAAGTCATATAAGGACATTAAGTTCAACACACTTTATAGCTCTTCATTCCAGAATGCAAAATGCCAAATATCACCACCCTAGACCCCTTTTTATTGAAAAGGGTCTAGGGTCTTTGACCAGATGTGACCTTGAAAGTATGTCAATGTCATTCACATGTACAAACTTGATAGCTTTTCGTCTGGCCATGGTACTATAGTCACATATCACCCTACCCTTTTGGGTTATTCAGAAGAAGTCGTTTAATATTTTAACATATTTGACCACTTTGACCTTTAATAGGTCATTCTCGTGAACAACCTTGGTAATCTTTCATCCCAGCATGCTACTGGCTATATATCAACATCCTAGCCATTTTTGTATCTATGAGAAGTTGTTTAAAGTGTTTGACATTTTTGACTCCAAAGAACTAGAATATGGGAGGTCATTCATTTAAATAAAATTGTTAGCCCTTCATCCCAGCATGCTCCTGGCCAAATATCATCATTATCGACCTTTTGGTTATTCAGAAGAAGTCATTTGAAGATTTTAACATATTTGACCCCTGTGACCTTGAATATGGGCGAAGGTCATTCATCCCAGTGTGCTACTGGTAAAATATCATTACCCTGGGCCTTTTGGGTTTTTTGAAGAAGTTGATGTAAGGATTTTTAAAAGAATTGATCCATGTGACCTTGAAAATGGGTGAAGGTAATGCATTTGGACAAACTTAGTGCCCTTTTCTCCCAGCTTTATACTTACCAAATGCCATCACTCTGGAACTTGTGGTTATTCAGAAGAAATAATTAAGATAGTTCAACATATTTAACCCCTGTGACCTTGAATATTAGCGAATGTCATTCATTTGAACAAAGTTAGTAGCATTTATACAAGTATGCTTTTGGCTAAATAGCGTCACCCTTTACCTCTTGGTTATTCAGAAGACGTTTGAAAATGTTGACACCGGACAGACCACGGACGGGCGCCGTGCCACGGCATACGCTCACTAGACTCTTCGGGCTAGGTGAGTAAAACAATGTATTTTAACTTAGACTTACCTTGAATTCTCCTTTCTCAATATGTATTCAGTAACTTTTACAATAGTTGTTTTGTCACTTTTCCACCAATCATTTAGCACTTTCCTATTTTGTGCGGCGAAGTCAGTGAGATATACGTCATCAACATGGCGGCAGGCACTGATGACTGAGTGTACTGACGGGCCCGTCCCTACGTCCAGTAGTCTGCGTCCCTTCACATCACCTGTACCAAGTTAACGTCATACACATACTTGATATAACAAGTTAACGTCTTACCCATACTTGATTTAACAAGTTAACGTCTTACCCATACTTGATATAACAAGCTAACGTCTTACGCATACTTGATATAACAAGTTAACGTCTTACCCATACTTGATATAACAAATTAACGTCTTACCCCTGCTTGATATAACAAGCTAACGTCTCACCCATACTTGATATAACAAGCTAACGTCTTACCCATACTTGATATAACAAGTTAACGTCTTACCCATACTTGATATAACAAGTTAACGTCTTACCCATACTTGATATAACAAGTTAACGTCTTACCCGTACTTGATATAAAGATAGACAGGTAAATACAATGTCCGTAATGCAGTGACATGTAATTGTCGAAAAATGAGAAAATCTGATTTGACGAGCCAATCAGCGTTACGGTTACACAAGCAGGAGAAAATGGCCGCTTTTGGACTTTCAATCGTCAGCTCGGCCGGCATGAAAAGTTAATAGGTGTGTTCAGCAGGATAATCTAAGGACATGAATGATTTAAGTAATTTAAGTGGGTTATCTATCGTAGTAGCTCTGTACGGAATAACGTACATGTTTGGTGCGGGTTTGAAGCTATTCACTGGGGATTTAGCACAGTATGCGACCGTCAAAAATCAAGACAGATTTTCGATGTTTCACGAAGTCTAACGACAATTATGTATCCAGACCGCTCTCGGCATAATTGCATGTTTTCTTGAACAAGAATATTTTATTGAAGCAACGGAGCTCGCTACCTTGATTATATCATTATTATCATTTGCAGTTCATTTTTTTTCGGCAGAGCCATTTTGGATTTGACTTGTAAACTGCAGACTGAATGTTGGGCTACAACACAGTAGATACGGATGCAAAACTGTATCCTTCCTATTGATTTGTAAAACAATTCCAATTGGTGACGGGCCTAAACTCGTCAAATGGTAACACTTCTTATTTAACACCAAAGCGGCGTGCATAAAGCTACGTCTGTAATCACGCGGTAAACTGACAAGCAAACTCGAGTTACTTCCCTTGTATGAGTTTTAAAAAACTAAATTATATAGCAATATCACGATAGCTTGCAACCACAGACATGAATAATCGGCCTCGTTTACATTTATTCAATGTTGCTTTTATATCAGTATCAAAATGTATCCCTTTCTCTTGGTTACACAGCAATCAACATGTCAGCTTGGCTATATTACCAACATGATAAAACACTACACATGTGTGTTATTATTAGTATCCCGTAGCTGTTAAATAGACCGGACCATGGTACTCAGTGTGTACGTTATAACTGCCTGTTATATCGGTCTTCCTGTATAGGAGCTTGCATGTGTATGAGAGAGAATAAATGCCCTGGCTTAATATGTGTAAGAGAAAACGATGTTATAGGCATACCATATTGAAAGATGTCGTGATATTTCTCCAAGTTGAATTGAAGTAAGTTAAACTGTAACTGGTTACCAACCACTCCATCAGACTGACTGGACGCCTGATTAGTCACGTGGCCGGATACCTGGTCAGCCACAGAGCCGTAGTACGTGTCTAAATACCACTCTGGGTCGAACACACCATTGTAATCCGTGGTAGTGCCTTCACGCGCCATTTTGATGACGTCTTTATTTGACATATTTCGCATGTACGCGACCTTTGACCTGATGCAACTTCTTACTCTCCAATCGCCTGATAACCAGACGTAGCTATTTTTTTACTCCTTTCGTATATTTCTACATGGAAAATGTTATGCTAATTGCGTTTTACATGTAACTGTTTTGCGAACGCTATTATAATCTACACACTAACACAGATCCAACCAATCGTGACCGAATTATGTGACGTGTCTTTGCGATAACATGGAAAGATTGCAGAAACAGTTCCATAATAAAAATGGTACAGCGCCAAGACAGTTGTTTTTAAATCCTGTTATATCTGATACATGTATATTACTGAGATAAACGAAACTGGATCACACGTAATCCCTCGATGTACACCTGATCATTACTGAGCACTGGTAAACACTCAGTGTTTAACACCAGCGGCGATGTCGTTCTGATCACGTGGTCTTCCCACTCCTTGTACGCGCCCTTTACTATCCGGCTGATTGTGTTCAAGAGTTAAAGATTTATTCAAACTAGGTACATCAGTACTTAGAATACAATGTATCTTTTGTATATTAACATATTTATTTTGCATCTATTACATACAAAACGGTTCGGTCACAAGTTGTCTAACTTATATAAAGCCCTTTCCCACAATGTATCGATATGATGTACTTACAAATTCATGATTATTAACTAAGAGGTTCTTTATTTGTTAGCCTTAAGGATAAATTTCCCTAACATACATAGTTGTTTACTATTTTGGACACTTAACAACTGAATAGCCTTAAAAACAATGATATTCTTTAATAAACAGCACTCTTAAGATTTTGAAATTTAGTACAAATTAATATAAAGTGAAATTCCTCTTCCACATCAGACTACAGTGGAGTAACATTCTTTACACTGTCTTAGTTTAGTAGAAACATTTCTATATTTCCAGTCCCAAAAACCTGTGTATGTGTAGAAGTCTGTGTATGTGTAGAAGTCTGTGTATGTGTAGTAATCTGTATATGTGTAGAAGTCTGTGTATGTGTAGAAGTCTGTCTGTGTATGTGTAGAAGTCTGTGTATGTGTAGAAGTCTGTGTATGTGTAGAAGTCTGTGTATGTGTAGAAGTCTGTGTATGTGTAGAAGTCTGTGTATGTGTAGAAGTCTGTGTATGTGTAGAAGTCTGTGTATGTGTAGAAGTCTGTGTATGTGTAGAAGTCTGTGTATGTGTAGAAGTCTGTGTATGTGTAGAAGTCTGTGTATGTGTAGAAGTCTGTGTATGTGTAGAAGTCTGTGTATGTGTAGAAGTCTGTGTATGTGTAGAAGTCTGTGTATGTGTAGAAGTCTGTGTATGTGTAGAAGTCTGTGTATGTGTAGAAGTCTGTGTATGTGTAGAAGTCTGTGTATGTGTAGAAGTCTGTGTATGTGTAGAAGTCTGTGTATGTGTAGAAGTCTGTGTATGTGTAGAAGTCTGTGTATGTGTAGAAGTCTGTGTATGTGTAGAAGTCTGTGTATGTGTAGAAGTCTGTGTATGTGTAGAAGTCTGTGTATGTGTAGAAGTCTGTGTATGTGTAGAAGTCTGTGTATGTGTAGAAGTCTGTGTATGTGTAGAAGTCTGTGTATGTGTAGAAGTCTGTGTATGTGTAGAAGTCTGTGTATGTGTAGAAGTCTGTGTATGTGTAGAAGTCTGTGTATGTGTAGAAGTCTGTGTATGTGTAGAAGTCTGTGTATGTGTAGAAGTCTGTGTATGTGTAGAAGTCTGTGTATGTGTAGAAGTCTGTGTATGTGTAGAAGTCTGTGTATGTGTAGAAGTCTGTGTATGTGTAGAAGTCTGTGTATGTGTAGAAGTCTGTGTATGTGTAGAAGTCTGTGTATGTGTAGAAGTCTGTGTATGTGTAGAAGTCTGTGTATGTGTAGAAGTCTGTGTATGTGTAGAAGTCTGTGTATGTGTAGAAGTCTGTGTATGTGTAGAAGTCTGTGTATGTGTAGAAGTCTGTGTATGTGTAGAAGTCTGTGTATGTGTAGAAGTCTGTGTATGTGTAGAAGTCTGTGTATGTGTAGAAGTCTGTGTATGTGTAGAAGTCTGTGTATGTGTAGAAGTCTGTGTATGTGTAGAAGTCTGTGTATGTGTAGAAGTCTGTGTATGTGTAGAAGTCTGTGTATGTGTAGAAGTCTGTGTATGTGTAGAAGTCTGTGTATGTGTAGAAGTCTGTGTATGTGTAGAAGTCTGTGTATGTGTAGAAGTCTGTGTATGTGTAGAAGTCTGTGTATGTGTAGAAGTCTGTGTATGTGTAGAAGTCTGTGTATGTGTAGAAGTCTGTGTATGTGTAGAAGTCTGTGTATGTGTAGAAGTCTGTGTATGTGTAGAAGTCTGTGTATGTGTAGAAGTCTGTGTATGTGTAGAAGTCTGTGTATGTGTAGAAGTCTGTGTATGTGTAGAAGTCTGTGTATGTGTAGAAGTCTGTGTATGTGTAGAAGTCTGTGTATGTGTAGAAGTCTGTGTATGTGTAGAAGTCTGTGTATGTGTAGAAGTCTGTGTATGTGTAGAAGTCTGTGTATGTGTAGAAGTCTGTGTATGTGTAGAAGTCTGTGTATGTGTAGAAGTCTGTGTATGTGTAGAAGTCTGTGTATGTGTAGAAGTCTGTGTATGTGTAGAAGTCTGTGTATGTGTAGAAGTCTGTGTATGTGTAGAAGTCTGTGTATGTGTAGAAGTCTGTGTATGTGTAGAAGTCTGTGTATGTGTAGAAGTCTGTGTATGTGTAGAAGTCTGTGTATGTGTAGAAGTCTGTGTATGTGTAGAAGTCTGTGTATGTGTAGAAGTCTGTGTATGTGTAGAAGTCTGTGTATGTGTAGAAGTCTGTGTATGTGTAGAAGTCTGTGTATGTGTAGAAGTCTGTGTATGTGTAGAAGTCTGTGTATGTGTAGAAGTCTGTGTATGTGTAGAAGTCTGTGTATGTGTAGAAGTCTGTGTATGTGTAGAAGTCTGTGTATGTGTAGAAGTCTGTGTATGTGTAGAAGTCTGTGTATGTGTAGAAGTCTGTGTATGTGTAGAAGTCTGTGTATGTGTAGAAGTCTGTGTATGTGTAGAAGTCTGTGTATGTGTAGAAGTCTGTGTATGTGTAGAAGTCTGTGTATGTGTAGAAGTCTGTGTATGTGTAGAAGTCTGTGTATGTGTAGAAGTCTGTGTATGTGTAGAAGTCTGTGTATGTGTAGAAGTCTGTGTATGTGTAGAAGTCTGTGTATGTGTAGAAGTCTGTGTATGTGTAGAAGTCTGTGTATGTGTAGAAGTCTGTGTATGTGTAGAAGTCTGTGTATGTGTAGAAGTCTGTGTATGTGTAGAAGTCTGTGTATGTGTAGAAGTCTGTGTATGTGTAGAAGTCTGTGTATGTGTAGAAGTCTGTGTATGTGTAGAAGTCTGTGTATGTGTAGAAGTCTGTGTATGTGTAGAAGTCTGTGTATGTGTAGAAGTCTGTGTATGTGTAGAAGTCTGTGTATGTGTAGAAGTCTGTGTATGTGTAGAAGTCTGTGTATGTGTAGAAGTCTGTGTATGTGTAGAAGTCTGTGTATGTGTAGAAGTCTGTGTATGTGTAGAAGTCTGTGTATGTGTAGAAGTCTGTGTATGTGTAGAAGTCTGTGTATGTGTAGAAGTCTGTGTATGTGTAGAAGTCTGTGTATGTGTAGAAGTCTGTGTATGTGTAGAAGTCTGTGTATGTGTAGAAGTCTGTGTATGTGTAGAAGTCTGTGTATGTGTAGAAGTCTGTGTATGTGTAGAAGTCTGTGTATGTGTAGAAGTCTGTGTATGTGTAGAAGTCTGTGTATGTGTAGAAGTCTGTGTATGTGTAGAAGTCTGTGTATGTGTAGAAGTCTGTGTATGTGTAGAAGTCTGTGTATGTGTAGAAGTCTGTGTATGTGTAGAAGTCTGTGTATGTGTAGAAGTCTGTGTATGTGTAGAAGTCTGTGTATGTGTAGAAGTCTGTGTATGTGTAGAAGTCTGTGTATGTGTAGAAGTCTGTGTATGTGTAGAAGTCTGTGTATGTGTAGAAGTCTGTGTATGTGTAGAAGTCTGTGTATGTGTAGAAGTCTGTGTATGTGTAGAAGTCTGTGTATGTGTAGAAGTCTGTGTATGTGTAGAAGTCTGTGTATGTGTAGAAGTCTGTGTATGTGTAGAAGTCTGTGTATGTGTAGAAGTCTGTGTATGTGTAGAAGTCTGTGTATGTGTAGAAGTCTGTGTATGTGTAGAAGTCTGTGTATGTGTAGAAGTCTGTGTATGTGTAGAAGTCTGTGTATGTGTAGAAGTCTGTGTATGTGTAGAAGTCTGTGTATGTGTAGAAGTCTGTGTATGTGTAGAAGTCTGTGTATGTGTAGAAGTCTGTGTATGTGTAGAAGTCTGTGTATGTGTAGAAGTCTGTGTATGTGTAGAAGTCTGTGTATGTGTAGAAGTCTGTGTATGTGTAGAAGTCTGTGTATGTGTAGAAGTCTGTGTATGTGTAGAAGTCTGTGTATGTGTAGAAGTCTGTGTATGTGTAGAAGTCTGTGTATGTGTAGAAGTCTGTGTATGTGTAGAAGTCTGTGTATGTGTAGAAGTCTGTGTATGTGTAGAAGTCTGTGTATGTGTAGAAGTCTGTGTATGTGTAGAAGTCTGTGTATGTGTAGAAGTCTGTGTATGTGTAGAAGTCTGTGTATGTGTAGAAGTCTGTGTATGTGTAGAAGTCTGTGTATGTGTAGAAGTCTGTGTATGTGTAGAAGTCTGTGTATGTGTAGAAGTCTGTGTATGTGTAGAAGTCTGTGTATGTGTAGAAGTCTGTGTATGTGTAGAAGTCTGTGTATGTGTAGAAGTCTGTGTATGTGTAGAAGTCTGTGTATGTGTAGAAGTCTGTGTATGTGTAGAAGTCTGTGTATGTGTAGAAGTCTGTGTATGTGTAGAAGTCTGTGTATGTGTAGAAGTCTGTGTATGTGTAGAAGTCTGTGTATGTGTAGAAGTCTGTGTATGTGTAGAAGTCTGTGTATGTGTAGAAGTCTGTGTATGTGTAGAAGTCTGTGTATGTGTAGAAGTCTGTGTATGTGTAGAAGTCTGTGTATGTGTAGAAGTCTGTGTATGTGTAGAAGTCTGTGTATGTGTAGAAGTCTGTGTATGTGTAGAAGTCTGTGTATGTGTAGAAGTCTGTGTATGTGTAGAAGTCTGTGTATGTGTAGAAGTCTGTGTATGTGTAGAAGTCTGTGTATGTGTAGAAGTCTGTGTATGTGTAGAAGTCTGTATATGTGTAGAAGTATGTGTATGCGTAGAAGTCTGTGTATGTGTAGAAGTCTGTCTGTGTATGTGTAGAAGTCTGTGTATGTGTAGAAGTCTGTGTATGTGTAGTAGTGTATGTGTATGTGTAGAAGTATGTGTATGTGTAGAAGCCTGTGTATGTGTAGAAGTCTGTC